CCCCCACCACCCCCCACCCCCGCCCATCAGCCAGGCACTAGGAGCACACCACTGCAGGGCCTAAGAAACTCAGGGCCTCCTTACAGCGGAGAGCAGGGGCCCCAATTTCTCACTCTCCAACAAGGTCTTCACTTTTGTTCTTGAAAGCCCCTGCTGCAGCTCCTCTCATCTTTTGTCAGTTCGGGGTCTGCTCCTGAGTCACCCTTTCTTCTCATCAGGATAGCTCCTTCCTAGACAGCCTCTCTACCTTCCTTTTCTCCACGAAAACCATGTAGAGAAGGATAAGGGCACTAAGCTAATAAGAATGTATCCTGAGAAGAATCCATACAACTATATCCCCATCTTCCCAGTACAATTCAACTGTCTTTTCATTTATTCATTAAAAAAGGCAATCAAGGCATTCTTTTACAAGCCCTGGTGTGGGGTTACTAGGATAGGACCTCTGGAAGAAAGAAAATAAGCCGAAAAAGGGAAACCATTAACAACCATCCGCAGAAAGGGCTGAGAAATTAATTGCCGATGACCCCTCGGTCCATGCAGACCACTCCCACTCTGGTCCACGAGTGGAGTTAAGCAAAGGGAGAATTGAGTCAGAAGGCAAAGGACTGAAGCAGCTATGAAGGAAGGAGGGCGGGAAGATGCAAAAAATCAGCATGATCCAGAGAGGAAGGAGGTTTTTTGACCCATCTCACTGGCCAGGGTTTATTCATAAAACATACACACAAATCCCTAATAAATTTTGGCAGCTGTAGTAAATGAAGGTTGAGGTCTGCATGTATTCCACATACCAAACTCTGGAGGAAATCCCAGGAGATTTGCTATTTCTTTAGGAGTGAAATATCGCAGTTTAAGCATTAACAACTTTGTTATCTTTTCTTCTTGTGACAAATTGTTAAGAGATTTGTAGATGTTCTCAATCTGTAAGAAAACGTTCAAGAAAAATGGGGAAAAAACAGCACAACTAAAGTGGTTAAGCTCTTCTATTGTGAGACAGTTTAAAAGTAATGAACCCACAGTCTGCTGCCATGCAAGGGAGCGAAATGCATAGGGCAAAACGACTCTGTGTAGTTCACTAAATAATTGGATCAGTAATAGCAACATAAACTTTGAGAAAGAAAAACGTTAATATTGAGAAGATCAGGATACTTTTCAATGTATCTGTTGTTTTTGATTCCTTAACATTACATCAACAGAATATAAACAATAAATGACAACATAACATGAAAAAAATATAGTGAAAGATACAAAAAAAAAGCTTGGCCAACCAAATAAATCAAATTTACAATGCTAACGAGATCAGCAAAACACTTATTGTTTAGAATCCATTTCATCAAATTAAGATACTTTCTTAAAATTATAAAATATTTTATGTATGATTTCTCAAATCCAGATGTCCATTTGCCTATGTTAGAATGCTTACCATAAATTAATTTTATCAAGTTTGAGATAATGTGATCTCACTTTAAAATTATTCAAAAATAGATGAGACTTGCTCTATATCAGGCTTGTATTCAACCACGATACCATGAAAAGTTAATGACTTAAGTATTAATAATAAAGTGCATTGCAAGAACAGATTTTTTTTTTCCCATAAAAGGAAGCTTTATAGTATGTGCTGCAAAGGAAGGCTCTAATATTAAGATGTTTGTTAAAATTTTAGAGAACATGCGTTATTGCAGTAATTTCAATGTACTATTTCAGGAATAAATAAGAAAAGCAGAGGTAAAAATAAAAAAGGGAAAATAAACACATACAACCATCTTTTTGCATAACTCATGTATAGCAATGAGAAAGTAAACATCTATTCTATAGTAAATAAATATATATATGAATAGATAACATATAATTCTACCCTGATGAACATGTAAGCTTATTTTAACATTTTCAAATTAAGTATTAAACATAATTTTATTTAAAAGTTTTCAAATATTTTCCTTTTAAAACATTCACAATACCTGCACATCCTCTGCAGTCTGTAACACAGATCCTGTCCCTTCTATGTAGCTTCCGTAGCTGAAAAATTAACACGAACATTATGAAGCACCTAATGCCTTTGTTAAGGCTGAATTTCTTAAACATTTCTTGAATGAATTAATCTATGTAGTTATATCCTAGACGATCTTTAATGTTATCACAAAAATATGCTTTGTAATTAAAAATCACTAAATAAAAGACATAAGATAATTCTATTTAAACTTCTCAGAAACTAAACACGGCATAGTTTCTTTTAGTTGTATAAACATCACTGAATTATATACCACTGTCATCTCTTTATAGTAATTTCTTTGCATTAATTGCCATTTCTTTAGTTAATCTGGAAAGCATGCACTTTCTATTTAAATGCTATTCAATATTGACATCCCTGCCACATAAACCAAATGTAGTTGTATAGCTGAAAAGAAATTGCTGCTATTTTTTAAAATCCCTGACCTGTTATTTCTTCTCAGGAACCCCAAAGCCTGCTCTCTGGCACTATGTCAAATGTGGTGCCACTGAGCCTGTGTCTGCTTTCATTGAATGCGGTATGTTTTTACTATCATTTTTGATCAGCAATCAGACCATTATATTAAAAATTGTACAGAAAACACAAAATACTTCAGAAATGCAAGATATTAGTAACATTTCTTTCTCCAAGTTCATTGCCAAGGGGGCTGTTCAACAAATGTATTCTCGTATTATCATTATTTTTTCCCACAGAGAACAATTTAAAACATAAATTAGAAGAAAAAAGTCACAGCAGAAAAAAGTTTTTTCAAATTGTTTTTCATACACATCACATATATAAATGTGTGCATGTGTATATATATTACCTACATTAAAACAAGCTTTTATAATAAGGCTTTTAAAAATACTATCTTTATGAGTACAAAAGAATTTCAAGGTTGTTTTTTATTACAAAATTGATAAGTCTTGTTTTATGAGAGTCCTAAACAGAACCTATTGCACTTGGTAATAGACAACAGCTAAATAAAGTCTTTTAAGGTAATGGAAAGCAATAAACCCTTTCCCCTGAAGTACAAGGCCGGGGTATGATAAAATCAGAATGAGTCTGGGATGATTACATCAGGGGCACAGTATCTTGTCCAAGATAGCCAGCCAGGAGGTAAGAAGAGAAAGCTTGAATTGTCAAGTCATAAACTACCTATGAAATGAGGTAAAGTAGCACTCATAAAGCAGAGATAGGTATCTTTGGCAAATTTTTTCTAAAAAAGTCTAATTTCCCCCTTCTTTCTAGGTGTAAAAAAATGTTTGAGAACTGTATTAAGCATTCTAGAAATAACCAAGCTCCCTAAATGTTCATCAGTAGATAACCAGTAAAATAAATTATGATATACCTATACCATGAAAACAGAAAAGTTCTTTATTTACCAATATGTGATAATATCCAATTTATATTGTGCAGTAAAAAAGGGCATAAAAAATATATATAGTATGCTGCCATATGTTGCCATTTACTTATAAAGAGGGATAAAAAAACACATATTCATGTAAATACACTCACACACAATACCTCTGGAAGAGTATACAGTAAACTGTTATAATTGGTTACTTGTAGAGAGGAAAATTAAATGGCCAAGAGACAGAGTGGAAGGTAGTCTTTTTTTTTTAATTTTGAACCATGTAAATATATTACTTATTAAAAAAACTGAATAAGAATTTTAAAATTGCCCTAATGCACTTCAGATGATCAATTTTATTTTTTAGATAAAGTTTAATTTCTTCTTATACATTGATCATAAAGTGGACATAATTTTTTGAGATTTGATGTGCCATAGAAACAAAAGTTCCAAAAAAAGAAAGAATAATTAACCATCTACAGAAACCACGTTTCCACTACGGGTATTCAAGCTCCTATGAAGGTCACCAAACAAATGACATTGTCTTTTATGAGCACTTTTGTGGGTAGTGAACATAATGTTCTGCCAAAAGAAATTTTCACTCGTGCTCTATTGGAACATGAAGCAGGCAATTAAGGGGAAAAAAAAAAAAAATCACCCCAGCACAAACATCTTATAAAATGTTCCTTGTTTTGAGAAGAACTAAAAGAAAGAATACCTATAAAAACCTGGTTATTTTGTATATAGCATGACTAGCTCTTTAAAACCTACCCTTTGGTAAAGCATATGGACCTCCTGCAGGTGGGCTTAACAATGTCTAATAAAAGAGCATATCGCAGCAATGACTTTGGTGGTAAAGAGTATTGATTCAGGTCAATGTCATCTTCAAGAAAACCTTTCAGCATTTGCACGGAGAGATCACTGTCCTGTTGATCTTTCCTTGCAATTTCTTCTGCAGTTTCACGTTTAAAAAGAATGGCATCTTTTCCAGAACACTCTGTGCTGCTATCAAAGCAAATATTTGGTTCAGTCTTCTTTTCCTCAATTTTATTTTCTGCATCTACTGCATATTTTTGTGGGTATTCACTCTCAATTTTGGGGAACTCCATCAGAACCTGACATTAAGTAAAAATACATAAATTGTCAAAAGCTTTATTAAAAATTTTAAAAATAATAACATCCAGTCAATATTATACAAAACCTCATTAGTCTTTATAGGGTTGCCGCTAAAAGACATAAATTGTGATTTACTTTTATTTGTACAAGTTACTACAAGTCATTAATCAAATAGTTACAGTGTCATCAGGCTACAAATTATTTCATGGATTACTGCTTTTTGTATTTATTAATGGGAAGTACATTGAATATAGATTGGGCATCATATTTGGATATTTGTAAAAAAAAGCTTAGAAAGCAACATTAACATTTCTTTTTTTTAAAATAAAGATGTGGAGTACAATTCAGGGTTAGGTATACAAACGTCGATTATGTAGGTATCCTTGTTGGTGAGGTATGCCCCTCTCTCCCCTAGCAGTTTCCCTCAGCTGCCAAACCTACTGCCCCTCCCCTAACAGTTTCCCACTACTGCTAATTGCTTTCTTACAGTATTATAATTGCTCAAGGTAACATCAATATTTCTAAAATATGTGTTTTGGACCAAAATTTTCCACACTCCTTCATTAAGTCAAAAAAACTGGAACATACCTATGATCTAAAGGAAAACTAGTAATTAAAAAAAGAAAAGTGCTTTTCACAGTGAAAGGTTATTTCTACTCATGAGTTCCATGGGAAAAACTTGTTTCTGCAAAATACATAACCATGCATAGAGTCCTATTTTGTAAAAGAAAAATCATTCCAGGCATGATGATCTTTGAAGTCAATGTATAAAGTTAATGTACTTTATACGTTTTTGAAATTACCCACTATGGAAAGTGATATATATTAGTATTACATTACAGGAGATTCAACACTAGTGATCCTCTATTATTGCAAATGACTTTTGAGTTTTTATCTATGACAGTTATGGAGAGCTTCTATGAACTGCTGCAACTCAGTTATCCACCCTCATTTTTTACTGAAGCGTGTAAAATTCCTCACATAATTAAAGATTCTGCTATCGGAGCAATAAAACATTTTATTTTAGCTTTTATTAATCATTACTATATTTTAATCAATTAAGCCAAATGGCATTGGCTTTAAAGAAAATGCAACCCATGTGTTAAAATACTCAAGCCATTTTATCAAAAGTCTCTGATAGCTCCTATTGTGGAGGGAAAAAGATACAAAATAGTGAAAGTTTAGAAGAAAAAGTATGGGGGCAAGAATAGCTGCACCAATGATAAGTTTTTTACATTTAACTTTTTGTTTTCTAATGAAGAAAGAAATTTGTTTTTTGTTTTTGTTTTATTTAAACTAATAAAGTGGCATCGGCATGGAACCTAGGGTATAGTCTACATTTAGACTCTATAGGGCACATATAAACCTACACACAGTAGTTCTTGAAAATAAATTAGCAGACTGATATATATTTGCAGTAAATAAGTCATATGAAAATAATAGTGACACCAATAAGAATACCTGGCCAGGGGCTTGAAAAGGAAATGGCTCTAACTGAAGTTTCGCAATAAGGAAATACCGTAGCCTTGAATTTGGAATGCCAAGCTACAAATAAAGCAGAGCAGTTAGTTACCTTAGAAAATTAAAGTGGTCTATACTAATTTTAGAAACTAGTAAAAGAAAAAATCACATAGGTAATATATTTAGCTTCTGCCAGAGCAAATTCTGTTACTGATTTGTGGAAGATTATTTGTAGCAAATTCTAAACCCCTTCAGCAGATGCTCTGTGCCTTTACTTGAATAAGGTAAACGCTGCACTTAATGAATATGTCAATGAGTCACTTTCATTTTATATTTCCCAGGTAAGAAGTAATATAGATATTTTCACATTCATTATTAATAATATACTAATAACAAAAAAATGAATTCAAACATTGCTATTAAGCCAGACACAGTGGCTCACGCCTGCACATCCAGCATTTGGGAGGACAAGGCCTCAGGACCACTTGTGTCCAGGAGATAGAGCCCAGTCTGTGCAACAAAATGAGACCATGTCTCTACAAAAAAAATTTAAAAATCAGCCAGGTCTGGTGACACATGCCTGTAGTCCCAGTTACTTGAGAGGCTGAGGCAGAAGGATTGCCTGAGCCCAGAGGGTTGAGATCCGTGATTTTGCTACCGCACCCCAGACTGGATGACAGAGTGAACACCTGACTCAAAACAAAACAAAACAAAACAAAACTGTTCTTGGCTATTATTACCTCATTTTACTTTAAAAGGAGGATTTTCTATATTTTGAACTTAAAAGGCAACAAATATGAAATAAACTTAAAGAGATCAAATCTATTGCCATATTTCACAGCTTGCATATTTAATTTTTGAAACCAATTTTCTTTTCACTTCTGAGCAAAGAACTATATAATATAACTAAAGATGACAAACTAACAAAAAGAATTACAAAAAAGACGTGAAATTTCCACATGCGAAATCAAAATCTGTTCAATAACTTATCATGATAAATTACTTCCATTTTTTACACATGAAATGCAAGCAGTGTTTGCAATTTAATGTTCTGTCCCTAAAACAGTAATTAGAAAATTATAATATGTTCATTTTGTTTTCTATTTTATATTATTTTGAAGCATTAATAAATTAAAACATACTAAGTTTAGAAATGTACTTCACGTTTTCAGAATATGCTATCCTTTATTCTGCAAAAAAAGTATATTACTTATGAGTTTCAAAATATATAGCTTTTTCATAAAATATGTATAAGTAAATCTATATGCATGTACTACATTCTTTAAAAAGTAAGACCCATATCTGAACTAATTTCAGGATTTGCCTATATTATCCAAAATAGAGTCATTTGGTTTATCAAACCACATTTCCTTTGGGATAAAAGCTTTTAAATTATAACATATAAAGGTTTATAATTGTGGTACCTACAGAGATTGGAGATAAAAGAAACTCTTGGTACTGAAAGCCACAATTTTCTATTGTTTGTATCAATAGGTCTCTGAAAAGAAAACAAAATCAAAGGAAAAAAAAAGCTTTCACTCTTTACGTGGAAACAGGATTCTTAATCAAATACGGCACACAAAATTTCATCTTAAGTGAACACCGTAACTCTACTCAAGTTGTTTAGACAGACAAAGACCCTAAGTCTTTACTAAGTCCAATACCTGAGAAATCACATTTAATAAAAGAGATATAGATAGTTCTTTATTACTAATAAATAAAACTGCCAGATAAATTGCCCTCACTGATGAAAACTCTAATCTACTGATGATAACTTTTCCATGGGTACTAGAATTATATCTCTGAGGTAGCAAATCAGATGGGAGCACTGTTATAGACAGCAGCTGAGTCAAGGACTCAGCTGATGCTTTCTTTCACCTGAACCATCCCTGACTTAGGGCTTTTTCTTGCATCTAACTGTAGGGCTAAAATGCCTGTCAACAGGACCACCTCTTACTGAAAACATTTGTACTTTGGAAAAAATATGCAGCAATAAAAATGATTAAAATTAAGAAATACCATTCTCACTAAAATGAGTGCTCATTCTGGAGATATTCAAACTTATCAAAATGGGAAAGAATCAATTTTTTAAAAGTTTGTAATACTTTATATTATTAGTTAGTCAAAATCAATACTAATAAATAAAATACATAACAAATATAAAATGTCAGAATGTATGTGTTTATTTTTAAGAAGTTTATTGCACAACAGTACCTACTATAAAACAGACCAAGTCTAAGATGTATGCAAGACAAATATATATATTTTTTTACCTTGTAGAAGACACTTCGAAACCTTTAACATTTTCTAAAAGAATATACTTTGGTAATTTTTGTAATCTAAAAAAGTAAAAACAAATAGAATCCTAAGTATCTCAATGCTAAAAAGTAAAAACAAAAAAACCCTATTACTTGTGAGAAATATGAGAAAAGTACTTTTTTGAACTCTTTTTATAAAATAATTTTATAAGGAGGAGATGACTCATATTTTATTAGTTTTTCCCCATAAACTTGGCACAAATAAAGTTAACATGGGAAATGTTAAATTTCGTTGACGTCTGGCTCCAAACATGGGTTTACATAGGGCTGCTGCTGCACTGCACAACTCAAGGGCTACTCTTCACATAGAAGGGTGCCTTGAGGGTTAGCACAGGCCTCCAGGCCAGCAGTAGTAGCATTCATGAACATCAGCATCATCTGCATTACTACTATGCACAGCGGCAATAGAATTTTGCTATCAGGTGGTAATTCCTTGGCACTCACTGTGCCGGCAAGCATGCAATCATGAAGCATTTGCAGTTATTCTACAAGTCGTGGCAAAAGAAGATACATGACATGCACAATATCTGAAGAGAGCATGTCCAAACTGCTAATCTCTATAAAATGACAAACAGCATATTCTTCCAGACTCCATTTTGAATTTAAGGTAAGCTTGTATGGAAACCCGAGTTTTTACCTTGGAAGGACATCTAGAATATATAAGAAGCTATTTGTTCTTGGATCAGTCACATCACCCTGTAGGCCAATTCTAAAGGAATAAAAAAGCCAAAAGTACATCTTACATAAAGATATTAAATCACTTTTTAAAAGTCAAAACTGAGCAAAAAGATAAGGCATTCTCACAAAAAAATATAATCTTTGTTGCTATAAAGAACAAAATGCATTTATTCATTTAATTAAAAAGAAAAAAAGCCCTGAATATCTAATAAACACACTGAACATTTATTTTTTACAAAACAATATGTCAAATGACTTATATGAAGCAAAGAAGAACAAGAATTCAATAAGGAATAAACCCGATTGCCCTCTTAAAATCAATTTATTTAGGAAAAATATACACACAGCATTGGCTAACAATACTTTTGCTCTGCCCCAGGTGACAGAAGAGTTCAGAAGAATGAGCTGGTTGGTTAAAGTAGCAACCTGGAGATGAAGCACTGGTAGGTCTGATCACCAGGTCAAAACAGTAGGCAAGACTATGGCAATCTTATCCAATGAAAATGGGAGCGACTTAAGTTGAAGGCTTGATTCTATAAGCAGAAGCTGCAACATGGTTAGATTAATAAGGGTCACGACAAGTCATGTAAACAGGCAGTATAGGGGCTAGCAGTTAGGTTTTACAAGTAAGATTTTCAATATGATCAAGGATCAAGCAGAAAGGAAGATCTGGATTCATACTATTTATCAGCTTCACAGTCTTAAATAAATTACTTGGCATCAACTATCAGTTTTCTCATACCTGACAGCAAAGTCAAAATCATCAGGGTAGAGGCTCACCAAGGGGATTTGACTGGACTTGAGCAGATGCCTCAACATCTTCTTATTCTTTCCTTCTTATTCTGTCCCTTTCTTCTCAAAGTTTCAAATGATAACCACAGAATCAGTTATTGCTGCCATTAGCAGCTGGACTAACCTAACACTGGTATGGTGGTAGTAAGGAAAGTGACTGGGGGGCCCAGTCATATCCAAGACTTCCCAGCGCTGGGGCTGCCTTCCGTCCTACACGTCCTCCTGGTACTTCACGGGTCACATGCATATGCTTAGAGCCTTTTTTATGGAATGCCTCTGCCTGCTCTAACAAACCCCTTACCTGCTTTCAGACGCACCTCAGACAAACCTCTGAAAGGATCCCTCACTCCTGGTATGCAGCGAACCATCTTCTCTGTGCACTTGTGTCACATTTCAGCATTCTTTTATTATATAGCTTATGTCATATTGTAAGATAATTATTTATCAGTCATTCCCATTAGATTATAAGCTCCCTAAGGTCAGGAACTACAGCATCAAAAACAGTCTGGCATATAGGTGAACAATACATTTGGGGGGAATTAGTTTCTTAGAGAACTGTTTAAATAAATCAGAGCCTAGATAGAAATTTAGCATGAAGCTATTCACTTGAATGAGAATGTTTATTACATATGATATTCTACTTAAGATCATATATAATAAAAAAGTAATATATAAAATGATTGATAAATACTGGCTCTGACATTCTCTAATTGCATTGCCTTAGAAAAGTTACTTAATCTTCCTATGCCTTATTTTCTCACCTGTGATAAAATAATTATAACAGCAATGTCTATCCCTTATCTTTATTAAATTCAACGGTATACTCCATATAAAACATTTAAAGAATTACTACTACCATTATTATTATTTAAAATAATTAAGGTACTATTATTTAAAATATCTAAATGAAGATAAAGTAGACAAGATTTCATTTTTTTCTTTTTTTTGAGTTGGAGTCTCACTCTGTCACCCAGACTGCTCCCGGCCACTGCAGCCTCGAACTGCTGGGCTCCGGCAATCCTTCTGCCTCAGCCTTCCAAGTAGCTGGAATTACTGGCATGTGCTACCACGCCCGGCTGATTTTTTGATTTATTGTAGAGATGAGGTCTTGCTGCCCAGGAGGGTCTCAAACCCGTGGGCTTAGGCAATCCACTCACCTCAGCCTCCCAAAGGCGCAGGATTACAGGCTGAGCCACCGAGCCCGGCTGACAAGATTTCATTTAAGATACAGTGTCTGAAACACACAGCCAAATATATATATATATATATATATATATATATAATTTTTTTTAATGAAGACACTGCAATGTGGCTACAAAAAGTCAGAGCTATTAAATACACATAAGAGTTTTAAGAAATGTAAAATTCACATATGCATGCTTGATTAGCTTTTACAATCTACAGTTAAGTAATTTACAATGTGAATATTTATTAAGGAAATCTACTTTGATTAATTAGTATTAGAAAGATATTCATGAATACTCATTAACTAAATTAAGGTAATTTGGGTCAGAAATGAATACTGTATCTTAGGTAGGTATAAAAGCGGTCTCTTATAGTTTTGCATATCTACTTTTGACCAAATTATTTTGCTCATCTGATAGTAACTGCTATTTTCTTTACTATTAATGCTGAATTATAAATGTGAGTAGATGAAAAATTATTTATGAAAAATTTCAAAAGCAATGAAAATGCAGCTTATGAACTTCAAAGGGTCCAAGCTTCAAACTTTGGTATGATTTGATTTAATGAGTCTTTCAAAAGTATTCTTTCTCAACAGAGAAATATTTATGATACATACCTCGTGAATGGCTGGCATGGAGGGCTCATTAAAATCATATCGAAAGATAATCTGTCAAACTCTTCTAGCGTAATGCCCTAAGGAATGAACATTTGGGGGGGGGGAGAATATAAAAACATGGATAGAATGGAGAAGAAAAATACTAACTATAAGTAAATATATCAGAAATTATAACAGTTCATATAACACAATACATTTCAAATCAACCTCAGTTAAACCAACTTCCCAAAGCAATCTTGTGAAGGAGGATAGTAAACTGAAGCTATAAAAATGTAAATGACTTCTTCAGGGTCTCAGCACTTTGAATAGCAGAGCTGGAACGTTAGTTTCCTAGATCCTAAGTATTTCTTGCCTGCCTCTATCATGCCTCAAGTGTAACATTGCTCTGTTTTCTGAAGTCAAAGATGGAGGTTTTTATTTTATAATTAATGATTTTTCAGCTTAGGGTCTAGGAAATGTTTAAACATTCACTTATTGATAGTGTTTTTACAACTCTTTTCCATGTGTGTCTGTTAATATCACCAAACAGAAAAAGACCATGTTCAGGGATCCAAAATTAGTTATTTTTTAGATTTTTTATTTTAAAGATGTGGGGTACAATTCAGGGTTAGGTATACAAAGGTTGATTATGCAAGTACCCTTGTTAATGAGGTGTGCCCCTCCCTCCCCTGGCAGTTTCCCTCTACTGCCAGTCCCACCCCCTCTCCCCTGGCAGCTCCCCATTACTGCAAACCCCTTTCTTACAGTGTTACGCAAATTGTTCAAGGTCCACCTATGAGTGAGAACATATGGTACTCTGTTCTTTGTTTCTGTGATAGATCACTGAGTATGATAAACTCTAAATTCATCCAAGTTGCTGTGAAGTCCATATGTTTGTCCTTCTTTATGGCTGCATAATATTCCATTGTGCATATGTACCACATTTTAAAAATCCAGTCCAGCTTTGATGGGCAGCATGGTTGGTTCCATGTTTTTGCTATTTTTCCACAATTATTTTATTGTTTTGCAGTTGTATGAAAAGCACTTCAAAAGGTTGTAGACAAGATTAATCAAAATGATCCCTAATTGGCTAAGTAATTTAAAAATGTGTTATTTCCCTCTTTTTTTATATACCAAAAGTTAAGCATAGAGAAGCACAAGTTACGGGTTTGCCAACTCTCATTAAGCATTATTAGGGCACATCCTTAGCCAGAAATTTAGAGATCAGCCCAGAATCACAGCTTTTCGAATTATAACCTACTTCTAAGACATTCAAGTACAGGAATAAAGCAGGAAAGATTTTTTTACTCTGAGTTCTGTAAAGACTGAGTTAACCTGGAAACATGTCAATTGTCTCCATTGTATTAAAAATTTGAACATACATGTCTGTCAGCTTTTCCTTTTCCTTTTCTTCTTTTTGAGTCTGAGTCTCATTTTGTTGCCTTGGCTGGAGTACAAGTGGCACGTTGACAGCTACTACAGCCTCCAGTGATCCTTTTGCCTCAGCCTTCCAAGTAGCTAGAGCTACAAGCCTGTGCCACCATGACTGGCTAATTTTTTTTTCTTTTTTTTTTTCTAACTGTAGAGACAAGGTCTTGCCAAATTGCTGAACTCCTGAACGCAGGTAATCCTCTCACTTCCACCTCCCAAAGTGCTGGGATTACAAGTGTGAGCTACCACGGCCAGCCTATCTGTCAACTTTTGATCACAGAATTTAAAGCACTTAAAATGAAATAAAAATTAAATATTGAAAATTTCCTAAAACACTTCTGGAATCCTTGGTTGTAAGGAAAACAATTTGAAAATCATACACTGAGAATTCTGCCAAAAAAACACAGGGCAGGGTATTAGACAACACTTCATATTCAAGTTAAATAGCCTGTCTGTGCAGGGTCAATATAATAAGCAACTGGATATGGATTGATTACAACTAAACTGCTAAAACTAAAGTAAAAACAAAACAACAATCTTTTATAGGGATGATACCTGGAGGATGTCTAGAATCTAAAGAAAGTAAACAGACTCTCTAATATAGCTAGACACTAAGAAATTACAATTTTAAAGGACTCTTGAAAATAGTGATCTTTAAAAATAGTACAGCTCAAATGATGAGGCAGTTATGCAAAAAGTCATCACTAAATTTAACTACTAACAACTTTTTTCAACCTGGTATTCTAGATCAATGAATATGTAGTTGGATTCGAGAAAGTAATCATGGGCAAAGAGACATGTTATCTTTAATAATTTGGTATTTTAAAGCTAATGGAAACGCACTTGTTTTCCATTACATGACCAGACAAATTAACTGACACATGTTTGCTTTCAGACAATATTAGTTCAAGTCAGTGTGGTAACACTGTTTTTCCCAGGTTGACCAGCAGTTGTATTTATGCATCTGCCTGCCTTATGGCTTTTTTTCTTAGAAAGTTTACTGGCTATCCTTATACTTTTCATTTAAAGTTTCGGAAAAAGTTGATAGACTAGAAAACAACTACTCTATTTTATTAAATTTATTGTTAAAGAGAACTAACATTTTAATAATATTCCACCACCTTATCTAAGACCACAGTACACTTTCTACCACTTTTTAAGTCTCTTTTTCTCCCATGTAAGTTAAACAGATTTCTTATTAAGTTTATTTTTAGGTGTTTATAAATTTGTGCTGTTACTAAAAATAGGAACTTTCTTCTATTACATTTTCCAGCAGGTTTTGGTTTGTATACAGAAAGCTATTTTTGTAACCAGCATGAATGCATTAATTATTCCTTAAGCCGGGCTCGGTGGTTCAGCCTGTAATCCTGCGCTTTGGGAGGCTGAGGTGAGCGGATTGCCTGAGCCCGTGGGTTCGAGACCTGCCTGGGCAACTTGGTGAGACCTCATCTCTACAATAAATTAAAAATTAGCCGGGTGTGGTAGCATGCGCCTGTAGTTCCAGCTACTTGGAAGGCTGAGGCAGAAGGATCGCTGGAGTCCAGCAGGTCGAGGCTGCGGTGGCCGGGAACGGCCACTGCACTCCAGTCTGGGTGACAGAGTGAGGCTCCAGCTAAAAAAAAAAAATTATTACTTAAGCTATTTTTAGTTAACTCATTTGTTTTCCATGCAATCATGATTTTGAATCCTCCTTTCTATTTCTCTCATGTGAGTACATTACCTAAAAAGTCTACAACAATACTATGCAATAGTGCTAATGGTAAACATCTTTGTCTTATTCGTTATTTTAGTGAGAGTGCTTTTAAAGTTTTAGTATTTAGCAAGTGACTGGATCTGGAGATACATGTGTTTGTATGTGTGTAGGTGTGCCCAAACATACATTAAATTATATATAAACATTAAATGTAAATTAAATATAAACATTAAATACAAACACATATTCTCTCTACCTACACCCCCCCACACACACATATATAGCTCTCCAAAAGTCAGTATAAACCCAGTTAAGTGACATAATACACCTTAAGGTAGGAGTCATTTTTTTTCTGGAGTTTATCAGATGTTTTCTGACATATAGTTTTGCTCTTTCCAATATTAACATGTTGAAAAATATTAGTAGAATTCCTAAAACCTACTTTTGCATTCCTGAAACAAAACCAGTTTTGGTCATTCTATATATTTCTTATATATCCTAGTAGGAATTCAGTAAAAATTTTAGTGGATACTTCCTACCATTTCCTGCCCTATGAACTCTGATGTTATTTTACGCATCTACAGTCATGAAAATCACACTTTTCTTGAGGATTTATAAAAGTAATTTTCTATGTCTCTTAAATGTTTTTTGCCTTAAAATCCCTCCTATCTAATATCAATTTTAAAACTCCTGTTATTCTTTATTGGGATTTGGCTGGTATTTCTATATCGACTTTTTTGGCTCAATGTTGTCCATTAAACAATTCATAAATTAATTCACCAATATTTCACAGTACTTATTATATGTCAGGCATTGTGCTAGGTCTAGGAATACAACAATGAACAAACCAGATGAAATTTCTGTTCACGTGAAGTTTACATATAGTTATATACTAGTGACTGGCAATTTTCCGTTTGCTAGCTCAATAACTTACTGATTTTAGTTTTATTGGTTATCTTTACAACTGAGTCCTGCTTTTGGTTAGAAGGCCCGACCACAGGCAATTACCAAGGCTTTCCCTGGCAGGCCTCATGGGGCAAGCCGCCCTCCCACAGCGCACAGCTGGTGCATGGCAGTCTCTGAAGGGTGTTGCAGTCAAGGTCTCAGGCCCCCAGGCCAGCCTCCTGGTTCGCTTGCATTCCCAGTCCCAGAGCTCTTATTCCTAAGTCTCTTCATCTGAGGCCCTTGAGTAGATGGCTCCTTCTGCGGGGAAGAGGAGGAAGAGGAAACCTTGAAGATAGTTTCCCCAATGTGACTCAGTAACTAACACTTTTCCACTCCCAGCCCTCCCCCGTTACCTTTCCCTTAATGCTAGGGGCTCCCTAAACAGCAAGAGGCTCCCACTTCTGCACTGATCCATGGGGAACTGGAGCAAGACGCACAGTGGCGTGTTCTCTGGTTTTAGACTCTTGCTACACCATCACAGTGAGTGAATGACAGCTTATTAATTCTTTCAGTTGGGGCTTTTTGCTTTAATCAGCTACTTTGATCCCTGACAGCTCAGCTCTCCCTTTCCCAGCTTTGCTGAGCCCTTGACAATAACATTAAATAATGTCCTAAAAAATGGATAGCTTCATTTATCTGCTATAGACATATTTGTTGAGTCGCACTTCCCCTTCCCACTCCAATTCCATTATTATTTCTACACTGCAAAGCTTTACAACATTTTCACCTATTTTCTCACCATAATTTATTTTTTAACATGGCAGCTTCATTCCTGGGATTTCTACTTTGATTCATTTTTTACTTGGCTAGATTAAGGGATGGAGTCATCTTTTCCAGAAGGGCTCGTGGATGCTGTAAGTCCATAAGCTGTTGCAGGCTTCATTTCAGGAAATTTTAAAATCGATTTCTTATTTTTTGTTCCATTTGATCCATTCTCTTTGCAGAAACACAAATGATATTTATCACAAATCACTTTGTCGTCAGTAGCTATCACTTATTCTGCACCATTCCGACCCGTATTCCCTTCCCTTTTGTTTTGCTTTATTTTTCTCAAGCTCCATCCTTCATGACCCTATCTACAGCACTGTCCATTTGACTTTTTGTTCCTCTGACATGACTTTCATGTCTATAATGGTTTCATTTTTCTCCTGTTTTTTTCCTAGACCTCTGATACTTTTTAAGTCTTATTGTCTTATCATTGCTTTTGAGCTGTAAAATATAGTTATTTGAGTTCTTGTTTTAAAAATACCATGTTTTATTTAATTCTTGAAGTTGATAGGGATGTTTAAAATTTTCTTCTGCTTCTTTACATCATTTCTATTTTTGCATTTCTGGCTTTTTTGTTTATGCTTCTTGCCTCCTTTAAAAAATATTAAGTATAGCCTCAAACTGGTTCCTTTCTAATTATTACTCATTTTTTAACAGAGGCCACTTGAGTTCGGGAGTTTGCTAAAAAAAATGAGGTGAAGTAGTGGTAGCTTCCATTCAGGTACTTTGTCACCACACTGGCCAGTAAGAACCTGCTGGGTCCTTTAACTTGGAGAATGCCTCTGTCCTTCATCTATATTCTCAACTCATGGAGATCAGGGCTACAGAGGTTGCAATGAAACTTTCAGCTTAGTGGTTTGGGTTTTCTTAATATCTGTTCTGACTTTAACAGTCACTGACAAATAATTCCTGGGTATATTTTTCTATTCTCCCTTGCCATTTTTTCCTTAATTATTTTGCACAAGCTATGTGGAGGTTTGCATGCAATTCTGCCATCCTCCAATTCTGTTCTGTTTCAACTGCATTTGACACTATTCTTTGCAGTTTTCTGTTTCATTTTAGATTAAGGCTAAATCCTATTTTTATTAATAATAGTTTTCCAACCTTATTTCCCTTCCTTTCTCTTATTTCTATTAGAAAAGGGAATAGAGTTTTGGAACAGAAGTATCTTTATGCAACAATCAATCAGAAGTCCCAAAGAAAACAGTTTATCAGTCCAACTTCTGCACTAAACAGCAAGTTTCTTAAATACAAAGACTATATCTTGGTCACATTTGCATTTCCTGTAAGGGCTCAATTCCTTGTGAAGTAAATGTTTAAATGATCATCTACTGTTGTCTAAAATTTTTAAAAAATGATAACTTCTGCATTTTGATCAACAGTTAAGAAAATAAAAAGATAGGGTACAGAATTGGTAAAATACTTATTATGCATATTCCTGACAAATAACTTAAGTTCAGAAAAGATAAACAACTCTCACAACTAAATAATAATAATACAAACACCCAAATAATAAAAATTGGGTAGGAAGATGTACAAATGGCCAATAAGCACATGAAAAGATACTTAACATTATTAGTCATCAGAGAAATGGAAATTAAAAACCACAATACAACTACATGCTCACTAGAATGGCTAAAATTTAAAAGACTAAAAACACTAAGTACTGGCAAAAGTGTAAAATTTCTCACTGAAATATTGATGATGGGGATGTAAAATAATAAAAATCCTTTGGAAAACTGTTGACTTTTCTCATAAAGTCAAAGAAGTTTGCCATATAGTACAGCAATTTCAAGCTTAGGTATTTATTCACAAGAAAAGAAAAGATATGTATATGAATGTTTATAGCAACTTCATTTGTAATGGCCAAGAACTAGAAATAACTTAAATGTCTATAGTCATGTGAACAGATATACATATTATACAGTATAATACTCCATTGTATGAAATATTACTCAGTAATTAAAAAAAAAAGCAAACTACCAATACATGCAACAACAAGGATGAAATTCCAAAAACATCAACACGAAACAAAAGCAGTTACATTTAAAAGTGCTACATTCTTGTGATTTTGTTTATGACATAATACAAAGAGAAATGTTACTCTATAACGAAAGAAAGCAGAACAATTGTTGTCTTGGTTGGGATTGAAGACTAATAAAAATGGGACACTAAGGGATAATTTAATCAAAGACCTAAACGTAAAACCTCAAACTATAAGAACCTTAGAAAACGCAGGAGACATACTTCTGGAAATTGGAACTGGCAACCAATTCCTGATCAAAACCCCAAATGTCCATGCTATAAGAGATAAGATAGACAAGTGGAACCTCATCAAACTGAAAAGCTTCTGTAAAGCAAAAGAAACCATCAAGACAGCAGGGAGATAGTCCACAGATTGGGAAAAAATATTTGCCAGTTGTATATCTGACAAAAGCCTAACATCTAGGATCTACAAGGAACTCAAATGTGCCAAAAAGAAAAAAACAAACAGCCCCATTACAAAGTGGGTAAAAGATGAATAGACACTTCTCACAAGAAGACATACAAGCAGCCAACAGTTACATGAAAAAATGCTCAGCCCCACTAGTCATCAAAGAAATGCAAATTAAAACCACAATGAGGTACCACCTAACTCCAGTCAGGGTGGTCATCATCAATAACTCAAAAACAATAGATGATGGAGAGGGTGGGGGGGCGGGGACGGAGAAAGGAACACTTCCACATTGTTGGTGAGAGTGTAAATTAGTACAACCTCTGTGGAAAACAGTGTGGCCGTTCCTAAAAGATCTAAAAATTGACCTTCCATACGACCCAGCAATCCACCTTCTAGGAATGTACCCGGAGGAACTCAAATCATTCTACAAAAGAGATACCAGAGGATACATGTTTATTGCAGTACTGTTCACAATAGCAGAAACATGGAACCAACCATGCTGCCCACTGAAAGTAGACTAGATTTTTTAAAAATGTGGTACATATACATGATGGAATATTACACAGCCATAAAGAAGGACAAAATTATGAACTTCACAGCAATTTGGATGGACTTAGAGGGTATAATACTCAGTGATCTATCACAGAAACAAAAAACTGAGTACCACATGTTCTCACTCATAGGCGGACCTTGAACACTGTTATAACACTGTAAGAAAGGGATTGTCAGTAGCAGCATACTGCCAGTGTGAGGAAGCGGGGACACACAACATCAATAAGGGTACGTGATCTCAAGTCAGGCAAAGTGGGGACCAAAGGGAGGCCCAAACTTCACCTGTATGATGACTACTTGTATACCTAATTATGAATTGTACCTCACATATTTAAAATAAAAAAATAGAAAGAAAAAAAAAAAAGAAGAAGAAAGAAAGGGATTGGCAATAGTGGAAAACTGCCAGGGGAGGGAGAGGGGAGCACACTTCACCAATAAGGGTATCTAATCTCGAACCAAGTGAAGTGGGAACCAAAGTGGGGCCCAAACTTACCATTTATATACCTAACTCTGAGTTGTACCCCACATCTTTAAAATAAAAAATTTTTAAAAGAAATAATTTAGATGATGAAAACGTTCTAAGTCCTGATTGTGATTGTGGTGGTTACACAGTTGATACGTTAGTCAAAACTCAAAATGCACACTTAAAATGGGTATAGTTTATTATATGAAAATTTGGTTTCATGGAAAATTTGTATGCAAAGTCTTTTGTGATAAGATGTTGGGAGAAAAAACACAACTTCATTTTTTAAAAAATAACTCAATGTACATTGGTGTTAAATATTTCTGCTGAGTTCATTACAGATGAACTAGGTTAACTTTGACAAGTTTGCTATAAGAAGCATTTAGTAGCCAGGCTCGGTGGCTCAGCCTGTAATCCCGCGCCTTGAGTGGATTGAGGTGAGTGGATAGCCCACAGGTTCGAGACCCGCCCCGGGAACTTGGTGAGACCTCATCTCTACAATAAATCAAAAAATCAGCCAGGCGTGGTAGCGCATGCCTGTAATTCTGGCTACTCGGAAGGCGGAGGCGGAACGATTGTCATAGCACAGCAGGTCGAGGTTGCGGTGGCCAGGCGGGGCCCCAGCACTCCAGCCTGGGTAACGGAGTGAGACTCCAACTCAAAAAAAAAAAAAAAAAAAAAAAGAAGCATTTAGTAAGTAAAAGCCAATGACAGCCTTCCTTATATACCATATATAGCATACAAATACAGAATAGAAGAAAAGAATTAAAGGAAGTTTAATATCACCACAGAACCAAGCATTTAGAAGTCAAGTATCTTCTTATATTTCATTTCCTTGACCTCGCTCTCTATAACTAGAAATTAAAAAAAAAAAATAGTGGCTATCTTCTGAAAGAATATAAATGTTAACTTCCTTCTCAAAAACTTTTAAATTTACATATAACTAATCCCACAATTAAACCCATCAGAAGTCAATATTTGGCAGTATTTTTTGATCACAATTCCCTCGCTATATTATTATTAAATCATAAATATTACTCACTTCAATTGTCTTGGTCAGTAACTGTGTGTGAGGAAAATTAAACTTGTATACTTCATTAGCAACAGTGTTGACATCAATGGCAGCTACCACTTGTGCAGGTATACAGCTTTCTGTAATGATAAATGGAATATCTTCAAAAGAAAGTTCATTATTGAGAAAAATCAAAACAGCAGAACCTAGCAGTACATTTCCTTCCTTCCTCACTGATCTAGCCGGATCTCAGATTGTCAGTGGAGGGCCAGGCCAGAAAGAGCTCAGCACGAAGTAAAACACTGGAAAGTGCACTTTTGGTTCATCCTTCTAACAACATTCCAGTACAAAAGACAAGAGTTAAATGTTTCAGTTGTTACCTCTTACACTTGCTTTCCTTCCTCAAGAAGATAAGCTTATGAGCCAATAGAAAGTTTTCCTAAGTTAAAACAAACCAAAAATAGGAAAGTGAAGTATATTCTTAAAAGTCTTCTCATTTGAAAGTTGACATAAATAAATTACCATTAGCCTCTCAACTTCTCACATTAATACAAAGCTGCTTCACAATACCACTGAAGATGCCTTTAGGTAAAGTTTTTTTTCTTAATAACAGCTTGAAATATAATTCATATAACACAAAATTCACCCATTTAAAGCTTAGATAAGTTTTTAAATGAGGTTAATAATAAATTCATGTCCAAATATAAAAGGTTCACAAACCAAAAATGAAAAGTTTTGACAGACCAAGAGAGAATATGAGAAGAATAAGGAAATGATTATAAAGGTATGCCTTCACTGCCCTTCTGTCTTGCTGATAAAGAAAGCTTTCAAAGTGCTTTCGGATTCTGATATTGGTATCATATTTTTTAATGACAGTCAGAATTTGAACTCTGTACTTGTAGCTGCTGCTGTATTTTACAACGACCGTTCTCTTCCCTAAAACATGAAAAAAACTAGTTATGCATATACCCTATTCCAAATCAGGAGAAAATGAGAAAAGCTTTAAAAACAAAAGTATTTGAGACTGCTTAAGAAAAATCATCAGAGTAAACATTACAATGTTATATACAAGGTTCAAATACTTATTGCTTTAATAACACACACTCAGAACTAACAATCACAACCTTCCACTGAGGCCAAGAAGAGATGAGACCAGAGAGAAAACAAGGGCACAGTGAGCTCAAGAAAGTATTTACTGAGTGCCTGCCAGGCTCAAGACACCCAGCGAGGACCATTTATCCCCCAGGTATCCTGCTGAAGAGTAAGGTCCCCTGTGCCCGTGTATAGGTCACTGGAAACTTCTAGTGGGGTCTAGTTAGTAATACCACAGGTAGCTACCTCCACTGAGTTTAAATGCAATAACTAGTTACTTGCCTTAGTATAAAATAAATTTAAAGTTATACAACACATCTTTGTCAAAGGTATTAGAGAGATATTTAAGCATAAATCAAGAAAGGTTCTAAACCAAAAAAAAATTAATTAATATATAAGGATTCATTTGAAAAATCACTACACTATTATAATTCAGGTAAAAAACTCAGCTACAACTAATCATTTTAAGTGAGCTCAGAATTAAATGTCACTGTACTATTATATTGTACTGTTTTGTTAAATAAGACATGTTATAATCAGCATAATGCAGCCTGCTTGCATTTCCACTATGTATCAACAAACTGGGATTGCCTGGAGTTGTTTAATAAAACTTTTATCTTTTTTCAGGCTGAGTGAAAATCCACAGCGATGTGTTAAATCTATACCATAATCAATAGTTAATTTCATGTTCTTATGTTAAGTGCCTGGAGGTCATAAAAACTGACAAAAAGCAACCCTTAAATAAGTTTCATGTGGTGATGCAAAGACCAATGAACTGAAAATTCCTTCTCAGAAAGCATAGATCTTTAAAGCCAATAAGCAAATGCCCTGTTTGCATGAATTGATGCACATAGTTCAGACTGTTATAAGACCTGCTGCATAACCTAAAGAGTTATTTCCATTAAGAGAAATAGATGTACTAAGATACTACACAAATCCAACTTGCCTTTTCAAAACAGAATTTTGGGGGTTATTGGTGTGCTTCTAAGGAAAAAGTCAAACTTACAAATAACAGTTTAAAAAAGCAAACCTGGGCAACCCCCTCGGGTCCCCTCCCACAATAAATCCTGCTTTCAAAAAAAAAAGCAGACCTGCCAGGTCTATAAAATATTGAATTGAGCCACAAATATAAGTTGTCTTGATATGTCCTAACACAGTTTAAATCTATTATCTCTAAAAATCTTTACTTTTAAGCTGCATAAACAGGTTTTTAAAAAATGTTAAAGTGAATATAACTGTATAAAATTATGCCTATGTGAGCTCCATCACTTAAGTGATTCAAGAATAGTAATTATCAAGGGGAAGAAAGAACCAGGGCGAGGGATCTGTTAGGATCTTTTGGTGGAAGTGGAAGAGGGGGATGTGTTTTCAGTACTTTGATGTATTACTTTACCTGGATTTTATTCATGATATTGCAGTTATTATTCAGAAATTCATACTCATCAACAGGAAGCTTGGTTTAAAAAAGGTAAGGCATTCTACTTAGTGAAAACCAATATAAAGTATTTTAAAACTTGTCAGATTGGATCTGAAAAGATAAGGAAATCATGTTTCCATTTATACCCGGACCAAATTCACACACACACACACACACACACACACACACACACACACACACACACACACACACCCCAACATCCCACATTTGAATAGCAATAATTTCCTTCTTTTTCTGATCACTCTTTCTGGAAATGCTGTAGGGAAGAATTTCTGGTTGGAAATAGTGAAAAGGTTTTCAAGTTCACATTCTACTTTCCTAACCAGATAAATCAAAAAATTTAATTGTTTATGCATAGTTATTAAGGTGGGAAAAATTAATATTTAAAAATGCAAACATAAAATTAACTGGCCCACTTTGAAATAAGATAAGGAAAGCAGTCTTTAAAATTCTTTGCGCCTGAGCCTGCGGGTTCGAGACCCGCCTGGGCAGCGAGACCTCACCTCTACAATAAATCAAAAAATCAGCCGGGCGTGGTAATGCCTGTAATTCTGGCTACTTGGAAGGCTGAGGCGGAAGGATTGCCGGAGCCCAGCAGGTCGAGGCTGCGGTGGCTGGGAGCGGCCACTGCACTCCAATCTGGGTGACAGAGTGAGACTCCAACTCAAAAAACAAACAAGCAAACAAACAAAACAAACAAACAAAAATTCTTTTCCTTCATCATTTATTTTCTGATCTGTATCTCATATAGATGAGTAACTATTTGAATTACTCCTTATAATCACACCTGAGACATTTAATCAGACATGTTAACACTGACATCTAGTTGTAAAATGAAAGATCAGTTGAATACATCCAATATCTATTTCCATTCATTCAGAGTGCTAGCTTAATTAGGAACAAAAGCACTTAAGCACAAACAGGCTAGTAAGGATTCTGAATTTAAAATCATTGCCAAATGCTTTATCAGTATTAGCACTATCATCACTATTTCTTTGGGTTTTTTTTAACGTTCTTGCATTTCAAAAATCACTAATAAATCATTCTATACATGACATAAAATAAAAAAACATTAAATTTTTTTTTCAAAGATGCATGCAATATTCTTAGAAAGTCACCTTAGATATTCAGCTAATAGTCAACCAACAAAAATTTACTTTGGGTCAAGACATACTTTAGATTATTGTTACTAACATCTGACTAAATACAAGACACAAGTAGCTAGAATGTGGCTAAGAAACTACTTCAGTCATGTGAACTCATCATATCCTTAGCACTGAGAACTGAGATGTCCTTGGGAGATTGAGACACTATTTTCAACAAAATACCAAAAGACAGACCAAGACTGGAGAAGTGGTACAGGAGAGAAAGATGGCAAATTAATGTTTTAAAAGAAGCCCAGTGAAGAAGTTGACATGAGGTGGAATAAAAATGTTATGGCAAATAATATAATGCAATTTGGAGAAGTGGAGGAATTTTGAGGAGGGACTTGAGAAAACAGAGGCATAAGAAATCTTTCCAGTAAGGCTAGAGGAAAGTCCATTTAAAATCATATTTATGTGATAAGGTATTACAGCTAACACAGCTACTGTCTGTCTCTATCTCTTTCCCTCTGTCTCTGTCTCTCTCTTTCTTCCCCTGACCCCTTCCCACTCCCCCGACCTAAAGCTTTCCCTGGCAGGACAGAAGAGAGAAAACAATTCAGTTAGCCACCTTTGGCAGTGACCGCAGGAAGACAGCACAGCCCTGCAGTTCCCTTAGTCATAAGGACGTAGGGAGCCTCAATTTCCAGGGGCACAGGCTAGTTCCTAAAAATAATTTCCAAATATAGGTAGATGAAATTAGAGCTCACTTGAAACTCTAGAACAGCACCATCCAATAGAACGTACTGTGATTATGGAAATGTTCTGTATCTGCACTGCCCAAAATGGTAGTTACAACCCATTAAGCACTTAACTTGCGCCTAGTACAACTGAGGAAATTAATTTTTAATCTAATTTCATTTTCTGTAATTTAAAATTTGATAGCTACACATGGCTGCACAACTCTACAGTCACTGGACTGGCCATCAACAGAAGTCCTGGAGAGAAGACACATATAAAGGGGAAAGCATGGCCTATGGAGTCAGAGAAATGAGTGTTCAAATTCTGATCTGACACTCATTCACTATGTCACCTTAAAAAAATATATACTTATCCTCTCTAAGCCTCAATTTCCTCATCAATGAGATGAACAAAGTAATAGTTCCCATAAAGAGCTATTATAAAAAGTAAATGAAATAAAGTATATAAAATCACCTAGCATATAGCAGATGGTCAATAATTATTAAAATTCCTAATTATTGCCTAGCATCTATCTGGAATATTATAGATTAAATAGATAAGAATAACAATGCTAGGCACAGTGGCTCAAGTCTGTAATCTCAGTGCTTTGGGAGGCCAAGGCAAGAAGACTGCCTGAGTCCAGGGGTTTGAGGCCAGCCTGGGCAACTTGGCAAGACCTCGTCTCTACAATAAATAAAAAAAATTAGCCAGGCATGGCAGCGCATGCCTGTAGTTCTAGCTACTTGGAAGGCTGAGGCGGAAGGATCCCCTGAGCCCAGCAGGTCGA